AACTATATTTAACAGATCCTACTCATCTAATCTCATACCGAAAACGTGGAGAAAGATGAAGATAATTCCTGTACCCAAGAAAGCATCTGGTGAGAAGAATGTAAAATTTAGACCTATTGCAATAACTTCATCCTTCCTCAAAACCATGGAAAAATTATTAATACTTCCACTTCAGCTTGCGATAAAAGAGCATAGTGACCCATAACAGTTTGCATACAGGCGCAAAAGAAGCACTTTAGATGCTGTTGCAGTTCTGCACCACAACATAGTGTTCAACTTAGAAAAGGGTACGAAGTATGTTCGTTGTGCTTTTCTGGACTATACTTCAGCTTTTGACTCTATACCAAGACAACGTTTACTTAACAAGTTAATCAGCGTCAACACTGACAGCTGGATAACCAACTGGCTATGTTCCTACCTCTCTGGAAGGGAACAGTACACTGTGTTTGGAGGAAAGTGTTCGGAGTCTCTACTGTCTCAGGAAGGTGTACCACAAGGAGCTGTTCTTTCACCTCTTCTATTCTCTTTTTTTCTGCATGACCTGCCATCTTCTACAGTAAACACTTTTGTGAAGTATGCGGATGATCTCACTGTATGTATGCCTATATCTTCCTCTTTCCATCCCATAGAAATGAATGAGTTTTTGTCTCGTATTGATTGTTGGTCTGTTGGTAATGGTCTCATACTTAATCCGTCTAAATGTCAAGCTGTTAACTTTAGCATGAGACATGAGCGGAATCTAAACACCATTTTGAGATCCCATAATGCTTGTGCCATTGGAGACTCTTTCATAAACTCAGTGTCGAAGGTCAATTATCTTGGTGTCACCTTTTCCTCTGATCTGTCTTGGTCTTCCCACGTTTTATCGTTATCGAAGAAGGTTTTCCGTCTGACCTACTACATAAAGAGATTGCATGCTCTTGGGATTACTCGTCATTTACTCTTACAATTTGTCAATTCTTGCATTTTACCTATTATTCTTTACTGTTCTCCATTATTCTTTCCCGGGCTTTTGAGAAAAGACTTTGCTGTATTGCGAAGAGTGCTGAAGGCAGTTAGCAAGATGTGTGGTGAATCTTTCGAGGCCATAATTAATATGGTTGTGGATAGACATTTAAAATCATGCAAACTCCTGGCAGGTGTTATTTTGTCAGATACTAGCCATCCCCTTCACTCTTATCTTTCTCCTTGTATATCTTCTGGTAGAACGAGACGTAATTACATTAAAATCCATGCACGTAAGGAAAAGTATAAAAGTTCTATAATTCCTTACCTAGCAAATATACTATGTGACGAACAGGTTGTTAGAAATAACCTAGTTAATAATTTACATTCTTAACATGTCTTTAATTTTAAAAAGTTTTGCACAGTTTTTTTTTGGTCTTTTTTTAAAATTTATTTTAAAAAAAACTTTTTTTTAAAAAAATTTCTTTTTGTATTTGCTACTGCCTATTTGTTCGTTTTTTTTTCAGTAAGTTACTTGTTGAAATACCCTGTGCTGAGAATTCTATATTGTACCAAAATATAATATTGAATAAAGCCATTAATAATAATAATAATAATAATAATAAATAAAAAATAATTTCTAAACATTGCGATGGAAAAGTTAGATATTCATTCAGCTTCTGAGGACTATTTTGAAAGGTTCGAAATCTGGTCTATGACCAAGGAAGATGATGAGGATGTCAATACTGTGGCACATTTCCTCACATTCATCGGAAAAGAAACATACAGCTTATTAAGAACTCTGGCTATGCCGGAAAAGCCTATATCGCTTCCTTATACAACTCTCAAGGAACTGCTGCTGGACTATGTTAATTATACAAATTTCGCATGCGGTAGTAGAGAGAGATCTCGTAAAATGATTAATGAGGATACAAAAAATTCCATCAAGTTACTACGTCATCCCGACCCGGTGCATACTCAAGGTTATGCAGATAATTCATTGAGGAGTTGCAATGCATTTCACGAAGATGAGCACAAGTTTGGTCAGTAATTGTCCTGTGGCATGTTCCACTTTTTTAATACTAGTAACCTACGAATATCCTCTACTCTTACCGGCCATGTTTCACTGCCATAAAGTAGGACGGGGCGTACTGCTGCACAGTAAACCCGACTTTTGGTTGATAGACGGATATCTCACCTACTCCATAAATGACGCAAGTTGGCAAAATCTAGTCGAGCCTTCTGTATCCGTGCTCAGATTTCGTCACACATCAGACTTTCAAGATAAGTGAAGCGGTCGACACGCTCAATTACTTCACTCCCTATCATTAGTTCGGGTGTCGATGCAATGCAATCTTGAAGCAAGACTTTACATTTCGAGGGAGAGAATCGCATGTCTAACATGCTTGCATTGTTGCTTGGAGTGGTCAGAAGACTCTGTATTTTATCAGCGTCTTCACCACATAGAACTAAGTCATCGGCACATTCTAGGTCAAAAAGTGAATCTCCCGGTAGAAGTTCAACCCCTGGAAATCTGGACGAGGAAAGTGTTATCTCTAAAAGCACGTCAACGACAAAGTTAAACAAGAGTGGAGTGAGTGTGTATAGATATGCCTGAGAAGCTTATTTTGTGAATAGTTTTTAATGTTATTTGTACTTGTTTTGCCAATTTTCCACTGTATGTACATTTGTCGTGAAATGGCTGTACGTGTTATTTAAGTGAATGACCTTGAAAAAACTTTCCGTTGTGTAACTTACATAGCATGACATATCGTGGATTGCTAACAAATACATTGTTGCACACATATCCCTTGTTCTACATTCATTTATGATTGAGTTAACTGAAGCCCAGATCGAATATTATCATCATTTATAGATTGTGATTGGGAATGTATCATTCCTTATATTGGATTATATTATTGGAGAGTTCATCGACTTCATTGGAATTATCAAACATTTATTATTGTGGATTTTCAACACCAGACCAAATGCGGACACGCATCAATTTAGTGAATTTAAGTAAAGTCCCTATTTTCTATTGTATTTGTAACAATTAACTTATATATATATATATATATATATATATATATATATATATATATTAACAGCACTATTGATCTTAAATACCTTTGTCAATATTTTTTACGCTTGTACATTGTCCGGTCCACCACAAGTGAAAAGCCATGACGAACACCAATTGAGGTAATCAATTCTGATGACAGTTCGACATAAGCTCTCATTCGACCAGTGTTCGAGTAGAGAGCTTTTACAAGGTAATGTACTTCTTTGGTACTCCTTTCAGTGACAAACACTGCCACAAAACCTCACGATCAACAGGGTTGAATGCCGCCTTAAGGTCGAGAAATACTGCGATTGTGAGGCGTCTTGATGTGTGTCTATGTCCTGGGACCTGGCGTAGTGTAATTATCTGGTCCATACAACCACGTCCAAGTCGAGAACCAGCCTGATTTTCTCTAGTCTGCTCTTTACGAGCTTTGGTTAGGCGTCGAAGTATTATTGAAGCTAATATTTTAGACACTATATTTGTCAATCTGATTCCTCTGTGATTGTAACAAGAGGACTTTTGTCCTTTGTTATAGGCTGGTACAATCAGTGATTGAAACCAGTCAGATGGGATTACGTCCAGTTCCCTAATTCTACCTAAGACCTCAGTTAATCTTCTTGCTAATACTGGACCACCATCTTTAAAAATCTCAGGAGTAAATCTGTCAGAGCCTGCTGCTCTCCCTCGCTTCAGATTTGCTATGGCTTTTACAACTTCGTTAAGAGACGGAGGACCTACATTAACTTGCCATTCAGGTTGACTGGAGGTCGTATGAAACCGAAGTGTGATTGAAGGCCAGTTGAACTGATCCCTGAAGTGTTCTGCCCATCGATCCAATCTCCTGGATTGAGAAAGTATAATGTATCCGTCTTTTTCTGAGAAAGTTTCGCTAACAGTTGAGTTCGTATTACCGGTTTCCTTAAAAATTGTGAACAATCGTTTATGTTTGGATTAAATTTCAATGTAAAATTAATGTAATTAACCTAGCTTGGCATCATTATTTGCGCTTGTTAACCCTCGTGAGGAGCTTAGGCCGCTCTACCAGAATTCTTCCTGGAACTCTGTTCTGAAAAATCCTTTCTAGTTGCGATTGATTCTTTTGATGTTTGCTTCTGATCCTCCCTTTCATTGCAATTTAGGACATGCCTCGCGATTCAGTTTGATGATTTCCGCAATACATGTCTTATCCAGCGTCTTTCCCTAATTTCCTCTTCATTTAGAAGCCAGTTTGTTCTCTCGCACAGTTGACTGTTGCTGATGGTATCCGGCATACGGACATTCAATATTTTACGTAAACAATTGTTTATAAATACTTGTGCATTTTTGATGATGGTTGTTATATTTCTCGAGGTAGAACTGTCTTCACGTTGGTATTAATAAGCTAGAAAAACGTCATGATGATATCAAAATATGAGTAGAGGCTGTCAAAAGTAACTGTTTAATTTATTTAATTCAGTTGATGAAAATATAATAACTGTCAGTATTTATCAGTGCTATTAACAATAAAACGTTATTACACAATATTCGAATGCACTGAACGAACACTTTTGTGGGGATAACCAATTTATCATTTAACATCAAATATCACAATGCTTTCGCAAAATTAAGTCCTTTATTTGCAGGTCTCCTTTCAGTTGTCCTGTACATACTTCTTCATTCCTCACATTCGCCTGTCATTCCAATTCCTCATCGTTTCCTTTTCTGTTTTTCTGTTAGCGGGACATAGACTAGATTAAAGCGTGCTCAATGCACGATTGCTTTGGCGCACGCTGATAGGCTTATTCTTATCCAACCAGCATTAGTCAACACTTAGTGAACACTCCAGAATCTTCTCATGTAAAAACTATAAATATACTAACGTTTTCTCTATTGTGCTTCTGATTTGCTTCTTATTTCCATCTAACCTTGTTATTCGGAATATAATCTCTTTCCTGTTCAACCGTGTTCTGATTTGGGGACTTGCCGAGTGATTCGGTGTCCGAGAATACTAAGCAAACGGAATAGCTGGGTCATAACCGTAAGAAAGAGATTATAGCATATTCGTAATTCAATCTGAAACTTTTGCTAAAAGTCACTCTATTTCATTTTGGTATTACATACTACTTATATCTGTCAAAATAAGTAGCACACATCACGCGTTTATCCGTTTTTTAATGGTTGAACTAATCAAGTGTGATTTAAATGGATTGATGTAAACCTCAGATCACCATAAAATTCATCACATTTTATGCTGTTTGTACTTTTGTTCCTTTACACTATTGTAGATGGAATTTCATCAGCTTTCGCTTCGTCATCATTCTCATCTATTTTATCATTGTCATCGTTTAGATCTGTATTATCAAATAATAATGATAATTTAATATTAGTTACTGGATCAGCATGTCCATCAAATCCTGGAATTGTATGTAGTCATGATTATATATTAGTGGATGATCGTATATCTAATGTTTATGACGGTACAATATACCAATAATTCGTTTTTGTTTAATCAATAATTCCACATTGAAAACATTCGCCACAATGACAAAAACAAAATTACCAGAAGTAGAAATGATCAATTCATCATTATCTTCTCCTTCTTCTTCGATCTCCTCTGGATCCTTTTCATTGAATTCAATAGATTATAATAAATTATATGCACCAGATGAATCATATTTAGTTGGGCAAATTTATGATCTAATCAGTAATGTATACGGTTTACAGTTTACATCGAATTGAAATTTATTAGATCCATATATTATTCATGGAAAAGGCATAGTGTTAGAATATATTGGTAAGCATTAGTTTGCTTTTTGTTTATTACAGAGATTGTTTAAATGTTTATGTTATACACATGATGGACTGATTGTAGACAGATAATAATTGAAAATGAGGAAACATTAAATGGCTATTTCATTCATTGTAGCATTGAACTGTTCAGTATTTTACACTGATGAACCATTGAAAGAATTTCAGACTTGATGGCGAGACATAAATCCTTATACTAACCAGTTGGAACCTAATGGTTGATGCTTGTGAAGACAATCAGTCAGTCAGTCAACTTACAGTATTACGAAATCATTATCTAGTGATATTGATGTGTAGTTGCCTCAGACCCGATATAACCGAACTACATTGATCATAGCCTGTTACTAGAACTCTAGGCGTTACTTCTCGAAATTACTCATTACTGAGGCTTGCTGCGAGCTGACTCAAGTTAAAAACGTAAACCTGATGTGTAGCTGATCAACGAAATCGTTGATTTTTATTGATTGGTTATTTCACTGGTTTATTTATTTATTTATTCAGTTAGTTGTTTGCTATGATAGTGATTATTGCATGCTATTTCACCTCGCTTCACTTCACTCACCTTAACTTACCTTTCTAACTGAATACATCAACTGAGAGAAGTGAAATTGATTTTCTATAGTCTCTTTCTATTATAATAAAATGATGTATGAATGAATCGAAATTTCAATGTATTATAGAATTTATTTGTATCCTCAGCATTACTAGTAGTATGTATGTAATGAATCTTTATCAACTAAGGTGATTGGAATGTTTGTTACCGTTGTGACTTCAAGTTGTGGTTGCTTTTTTACCCTGTGCTAATTGTTGTGTACTTGACTGAAAAACTAGAGAACAGCGCATTTATCGATCGACTCAATGACACGTAAACACGTACGAACGTAATGGACGACCTAGAGTTACGACTGGTCCCGATTCCATGTCTATCCCAGCCAGTTGAGTCCAGAACACAAATCTCAGCCTCTGAGTTATGAATCATTGTATTTCAGACATACTCTATTTATATACTAACCAAACATACCACATCGTACCATAAAAATAGAAAACAACATTTTGTACCATTTTCAACAAGTGGACAGATATCGACCAGTAGGAAATGTCCATTTAAAGTCCGAAGACACCATTGGACTTAACTTGATAATTATTGGTCTATCCTTCGCATCCACAACAGTTACATATACCCGATCACCACCTATCTTGAAGGGGAATATTGTCTTGTTTAAGAGTAGATGTAAGTAAGTTAAAAGTGGCTAAACCAACATGTGGCACTAGTCCATGAGGTCAGTAACAAGTGGAGTGAGTCATTTAAGTAGCTTGAGACTACCGCGTTGGAGTCGGCGTGATTATCCTAAACGATGATTCGCAACTTTTGATGACAAATCAGGACCACTCACAATGGTCCATATACATTCACTCCTTGTTTTGCTTTAGAACCTAACCTTTGTCACAAAATCTCTTTATACCTTATTTCTTTGCATGTACCTAATCTTTCCTACTACCACAAATGTTATTACTACTGTTAGTAATCTGGAATTTGTCTCGATAATTTTATCTCTCTGTGCTAATAAGACATGACAACTTGAGCTGACGTACTTATGTATCAGATTCTACGTTGCACATGACTATAACTATATAAGTGGAAGCTATAAGGCAGAATTTGATAGTAGAGATAGAGGAAAAATATTAAAAAGAGATGAAGTTCTTTTAATACAGACAAGGTGTTTTTGAATGCTGCTAGAGTTATGTGAACAGTTGATATTTCCCAGTTACCTTCATTGAGGAAAGATAGTTTGTTCTTGAGGTATCTGAAAAGAGTATTGAATAGGTAGTGATTTTGCCGACCTGGAACGGTGACCGCTGACCCCAAGAGACAAATGGTTAAAGCCGATCAAACTGCTTTTTTCTGAGTAGTTGTTAGTGTGTTGGTTCGGCACTTCATATTTTTATTTACCCACAATTATTTTCTTTGATTTCAGTTGTATTTATAAGCGGAATTCAGGATGCTCGTTTTAACAATGGGTAGATACAAACCCTTTTAAATAAAATTTCTAACGATTGTACATGTAAGCGGCTAAGTGACCTTTGTAGCTCATCAGAGTTAATGCGTTGGGCGTGAAGTAGTCGAACGCGTTGACAACTTCACTTATCTTGGAAGTCTGATCAGACCTAATGGATTGGTATCGGACGAAATCTCAGCACGGATTCGAAAAGCTCGTTTGGCTTTTGCCAACGTACGTCACCTTTGGCGAAGGCGAGATATCCGTCAATCAATAAAAGTACGAGTATACTGCGCGGCAGTCCGTTCTGTCTTAATTTACGGCAGCGAAACATGGCCATTAAGAGTAGAAGACACTCGTAAGCTACTAGTATTTGACCACAGATGCCTTAGAAATATTGCTGGCGTCTGCTGGGATCGCCGGGTAAGTAATAGTGAGGTTAGACGCAGGGTATTAGGAAATGATGGTGAATCAGTCGATGAGGTTGTTAAGCTTCATCGACTGAGATGATTGGGCCACGTGTTACGTATGCCTGAACACCGGTTACCACGTCGTGCAATGCTAACGGGTGTTAGAGATGGTTTGAAGAGAATTATTGGCGGCCAAACCAAAACGTGACATCAGTGCTTGAAGACACTAACCTCTAGTCTGAGCCATGTTGGTAGATGCAGACTACTTGATTGGGGTCCGCGTGACTTTCGTAAGCAATGGTTGGAGACTCCTGGTGACATGGCTCAGAATCGGTCACAATGGCGTCGGTGTATACACTCCCTGTCTTCTCTTAAACTAAGAGAATAAAATCACTTCATATCTTTCTTTCTACTAACTAATTCTTTCTTCCTATGCTATATCCTTATATGCAATCTTTCTCTTATATATTACCACCTTTGACCTAACCACTCCTATGAATCCGGTGTTCATCTTGCTGTGCTGATGCAGTATGGCCACCTGGACCGATGCATATATGTGCCTGGTCCTACGTTGTAGCTGACTGACTGACTGATTTATTACTATCAGACTTGCACACTAAAATTGATGAGTATTTTTTTCAGTTAATAACAATATTGTTTAAGTTACAGACTGACTATTAGTTAAACTATCTTAGACAACCAAGCGGTATGACCTGATAGCTATTTCGTTCTACTATGGCTAGCAGTGGGATCCAATACACGCGTTTCATCCTGTCTGGGTTTTGTCAGCTGGATATATCTGCATTCCAGAGTCGGTGTTCACTCTGGTACTCGAACTTACTACTGTCTGCTTGGAGCACCATCGGGTCATCCATTTAGCTACTGAGTTAGGATAGCCGCTCATTTGTGCAATGTGCTGACGTTTAAGTCATAGAATACAAGTATACCCATGTGATGAGTCCTAAATAAAACGTAACGCACGTTCTGGATTCCACTGTTAACTACTATCCATTTTTGCTTATAATGCTTGTAGCTTAAGGTAATATTGGAGATGGTCATATACTAATAAGAGACTGATCAATTCAAATCCTATACATGAATGAGAAGATTAAAACAACCAGTACAAAGATGAATTAACGTTATATCTATATTTGACAACAATTCGATCAGGTTGATTGTCTGTCTATTCAATGTACTTTTTATTAATCATATTTGAATAGTTTTGATAGTTTTTAAGCCTTCACTTAGTTGATCGGTTTAATTACAAATCGTTTTTTGTTGTTGTGAACAACTTGATCAGAGTCATACAGAAGTTTGTGATAATCAAATGATCCAACTTATCGAAAATAACATCACCTAAACACATTCATTACAGCCTAAATCCCTTTGGATTATTTTATAGAGTGAAAATGAAAATAGTGATGATCTGTTGTTTTGTTGTACTTCAAAAACTCTTCAGTGATACTAAACGTATTCAAGCCATCAGATGTTTAAATCATGAAATTATAGAACTAGTATTGAACTACTTGTTAGGGGATCCCAGTTACACATATTTCCGATTTTCAGTGAATATATGACATAATATGTGACCATTTAACACAGTGCATCAGTGTTGAAAATGTTTACAGCAATAACCCTTAGTAAAGCACATAATGGTGGTAGCTGATAGCTGTGTCTAAATTTGATAACAGTTTACGAACAACCGAAACCCGAACCAAGAGCAAACAATATGGAAACTGTTGCGTTTAATTAAATGCACAAAACTGTGGATAACGGCTACAGTGATTGAGGTACAGTAATTATAATGATAAATAAAATGATAAGTACAATAAACGTTATAAGTTATGTGAACATTTCAGAATATTACAGTACAACTTGCGCTACAACATAAGTGTGAAAATTGGTAGGAATACGACGGCTTACTGAATGTAAATAAGTAGTATAAAACAACATACAAAAGAGTGGAAAGGGAATGGGCAGGATCAATGTAAAACAAACTTAACACCAATATATATCTTGTAAATAAATATCATAATTACCAAGTAAGTTAGAAGAGAGAGAGATAGAGGGAGTGAGGGTGATTGAAACTAGATATGTATAGACAAGTAATAAATACTCAGTGAAAATAACTATCCTAATAATGATACATGTGATTTGCAACGATTAATGTGCCATAATACTTAAATTACATAAATACATAACTGTTCCAGTTAAAATGATTGTTACATTGAAAGAGAAACGATAAATTTGTTTGATCTTGGTATTTTCCATGATTTAACATGGATTTGGGGGATATTATTAAAACATACGGTTCATTGAACAGATGCTTCATGGTAGAATGAGATTCCTCAGCAGTGCGTACTAACAATCTCAGCGTGGGTCGAACTTAAGTAGCTTCAAGTTTAACGGTCAACTTCGAGAGGAATTTGTGAAAGTTCTATTGAAAGTTAGAGACGAGTGTAGTTCAACCGTGTCGGGTATGAGACATTTATGTTGCTAACATATTGCAAATAGTTTACAAATAACGAAATTTTTTGTGCTAATTCTTTTTTCCAGAAGCAATTAATATTAAGCATTTTCAACTTAACCTTTAAATACAGAGTGAAATGTTTTAGAATGATAGATTTATTTGTAGTTTAAACTAGTCTCAGATTGACATTAGTTAGGGGAAGCATAGGTTTATGTCAGACGAAGGTTTCAACAGACAATCTGGCATTGATTGATAACTGATTGAATAGAAAATTCGTCAATTCAATGTTTATTTTAAATTATCAATGTATGTCGGCTCAGTGATTTAGAAGTTAAGCGTTTTCGTGCGAAACCGATAGATCCTGGGTTCGAGTATCGCGGAGCGGGGTCGTGAATACGCAGTGCTAAGGAGTTCTACAATAATAGGACGAAACGGCAGTCCAGTGCTTCCATGTTTTCCATGGTGGTCTAGCTTTATTAGTTTCATGATCTCAACTATTAAAAATATTAATTTTTTGTTTAAAAGAAAAAGAATCAATAACGCTTATTCATTTTTATTTACTTTATAGCTGATGAACGTGCCACATTTGTTGCATAAATCACTAAACATTTACAAGAAATGGGAAAAAACACAAAATTATCCTGAATTAGTAACCAATTGGATATGAACAATAGCAGTGATATGATGTTGAAGACTTCGACAACTATCGAGCAATCAGAATTAAACACTACACACATTCATCATTGTATTTGAAAGCCGCCAATCATAATGATCAAGTTCCGCATCTTTCATCAGGTAATTAAAACAAACCAGAGGGACACAGTTAATTCCATTCAATTTTCAATATGTACATGTATGTTTATCAAGTACTCATGCAGTATAGCCACTGAACTAATAACTAATCATAATTATTATACTGATCGGTCTATAAACTAAATGGTGTATATTGTGATAATTTTGTATAGAAAGGACTATTTTAACACCGACTAGCGTAACCATTTCATAATTATCTGGAAAAGTTGATAAAGTTCTGTCTATATGATGCATCTTTTTATCGTGTAATAAATGTGTAGTGAACAAGAACACCAATGGGGATAACTAAATTTATTTGAGTATAACATTACAGAATCTCTTAGTAAAATCTGAGAATCATACAGTAAATACTTCATTTGCAACGTGTCAATTAATCATTTCAAACTTGATTGTTAATTCGTTTCTACACTAATTATTCTCTGTTTTCATTCTCTTCGATCTTCTTAACCTTCTACCACCAGGCATTTCACTTTCGATTGATGATACATACTACTTATATCAGTCGACATCAGAACACACCACAAACATATTAAATATATAAGTCCTAAAATAATCGAGTCTTTTTGTTTTCTTCTTCTTCTTCTTCAAAGTATAAGGAAATATACGAACCGTAATGTTAGTGATTTGTAAGTTGATCAGTAATTAGATTGAATAAGTCAACATTAATAACAGATCTAAACACACACATATTGATAAGAGAAAGTAACTTGAAACTAATGTTGATAGTTCTTTATCAAGTATACACTTTTTTATATAATTGTCTTTAAGTAACATTTTCATTGTATAAGAACTATCAGTGATACTACTGATTTACTACTGAAATCAAAGTCAATCGTGAATAGAACATGAATACCTGATTGATTGATGGATGAATGGATGAACTGTGCAAATATTAAAATGAACCCGCATATTTCAAATTTGTTATTGAATTGAATTTAAATATAAATCCTAACTGTATATACTAATGCGGTGTTGTGTGAATAGCTTGCACAATTTATCACGTTACTTCAATACTGAAAATGTTGCATCAAGCTACTCCAGTTGTTCGTATAATGTTCTATCTATTATTATTAATCTTTTGATAAGTAAAAAGGAACAAAGACAAGTATATTGGAATTCATGTATTGAGAATCTGATGAGAAAAAGTGGTTGCATCATCTGAACTGATAGAAAATTTTCATCATTAAAGATGAATCGACAGGTCCAGGCTATTGAAGTTTATCGTAATATTACACAACTGATGCTGAGAATTTGTTACCGATGCACAATTTATAGTAGTGAATTTTGTTATTATGATCATAGAAGTCAGAATAGTTTAACGATCTGTCTGCAGTGCATCACTCAAAGTAGCAGTCTTAACGAAAGTACTATTTGATACTGAAAAATAATCAGCAATTATTTTTCTCAATAGTTGAAATCATGAGTCAATTGAAACTAGAACACCATGGAAAACGTGAAAGCATTAGACGGCCGTTTCATCCTAGTATGGGATTCCTTAGCAGTGCGCATCCACGATACTGCCCCGCGAGATTCGAACCCAGGACTTATCAGTCTCGCGCGCGAACGCCTAACCAACGGTGTTAATGTTTTACTTCAACCAATCCACGAAATCGCGCCACCGTCATCAATGCCTTGAGTGAGTTGATGGGCACTGCTGAGTAGTTATATAATAGGACGAAACGGCCGTCCAGTGCTTCTAGGCTTTCTATGGTGGTCTAGCTTCAATCGACTCATGATTTCAATTATTGAAATTACTATTATCTCTACAAAACCCCTTCTGCAAGAAATATTTCTTTGATTCGTTTACTAACCATTGAAAACCTGGAATCTCTGGACAACTATTTCGTCCCATTTTGTTGCTCCACAGTAGTTCGATTCCAAAACCTCATCGATGATAGGGTCAAGGAATATCAAGTCTGATTGATAACTTCGTAAAGCAGCCCAGGATTTCTTGTGACAAGCTGAAACAAGCGGATTTCAACGTTATAGGATGTGTGACAGGTATTAGCAATGAATGAAGTTATTAGACATATAAACCATTGGACGCTGCTCTATAGGTGAAGTTTTTGACGAGAGACCTAAAGATCTTGGGTTTGGTCGTCTGTAAGGCTTGATGATAAATGAATACTGCTTTGGAGTCCCATAATAGGATAAAATAACCGTCCAGTGCTTCAACATTAATCTAACATAGGTCAGTCGTCATCTCAACGATGTCCAACAATCTCCACGAGCTCTATCATATTTGTGAGTTTTCTAGATTGTGACAATATTATTTATTTAATAAAACTTCTTTGTGTGAACGTAGATATTACTTATATCTTACTTACGCCAGTTACTCCTCGTGGAGGAGCATAGGCCACTCACCAGCATTCTCCATCCAACCATTTCCTCGGCAGTCCTTTCCAGCTCTTTCCAGTTGTTGTTCATCCTTTTCATATCTGCTTCCATTTCTCGACGTAATGTATTCTTTGGCCTTCCTCTTTTACGCTTCCCTTCAGGATTCCAAGTTAGGGCTTGCCTTGTGTTGCAGTTTGATGATTTACAGAATGCATGTCCTATCCATTCGTCTTTTCGTAATTTCCTCTTCGGCTGAAAGTCGGTTTGTTCTCTCTCAGAGTAGGCTCTTATTGATGGTATTCGGTCAATGGATGTTGAGTATCTTGTGTAGACCGCTATTTGTAAATACTTGTACCTTCTTGATGATGATTGTAGTAGTTCACCAAGTTTCAGCTCCGTACAGTAGAACTATTTCGATTTTCAGGTTGAAGATTGTGACTTTGATATTGGTTGAAAGTTGTTTTGAGTTCCATATGTTTTTCAATAGTTGGAATGTGACCCTTGCTTTTCCAATCCTCGCGTTTACGTCTGCATCCGACCCTCCTTGTTCATCGATGATGCTTCCTAGGTACGTGAAAGACTTCACATCTTCCAGAGTTTTGCTATCAAGTGCGATTGGTTTAGTTTTTTCGTCTTGTATTTGGGGATCTTGGTTTTTCCTTTGTGTATGTTGAGGGCCACTGATGCCGAGGTAGGTGCTACACTAGCTGTCTTCATCAATCAATTTACAATTTGACACGATAGTCATCCAACAGCATTTGTCCCATCTTCTGAATATAAATTAATCACTACTGAGCTTGTTATTAGTAGTTTTAAACAAACCATAACAAATATTGATTACAAATGAATGTGATCTCCACAAAACACTAAGTCATTTAGATTTTTTTAATCGTTTTTGCAAATGTTTGTATGTTCATCTAAGTAGATTTCATTTCCTGGGCCGTGATTAACCTTTATGTAAAATAATGTAAATGTTACGAATACCTTTTGGGTTTCTGTGAGGCTGAAATTTTCTCCATGGTGTTGTATTGACCGAATATAAGACCCGACTTGAAAATTGATAATCGACATATGTATTTTAGTAATAATCCTTATTTGAGAAACATTTCATAAGTGTTAAATTAAGTTATAAATATTAATATCTGACTTCTACTTAGGTATTAATAATTAAATGGCTATGTAACACTGTAGTGAAACGGTGGTTTAATATAGTTGAATCATTTGGCTTGAAGTTATTAGCTTACTTGCTTGAACAGCGTTCATGACCTTGTTTGATTGGAGCAGCCGGTCAGTAATTTTACTCGACCTTTACACGAAACATTCTGACTTAATTCAGACCGACAGTGCTGGGTTCGAATCCCGCCTGTGAGGTCGTGGATGCTCACTGGTGAGAATTCACACGCTAAGACGAAACAGCCGTCCAGTGCTTCCAGATTTTCAATGGCGGTTTGATATTGATCGATTTATGATCTCAATCGAAACATCTGATTATTCTAACATATCTTGTCTTATCTGCTTACTTGAAGGTGTCAGTTGGACTGTTTTAGGTGTAACTTCAATAACGCGTCAAATGAATAACGTGGTTCCAATGAAGTTACACGTTTTTGTATCTCTCCACTTTTCAACTATGCTACTACTAATAATAACCCCATTGATATATTTCATTTTTTTAAGTAAAATGACTTACCATGATAGGATGGTAGGATTTCCCTGGCAGTGGTTTTACGCACGCGGCCATGTGAGAACATTTCAAGAGGCCGTACCAGGGCATGCATATATTAAATAACTATATACAAATATATCTGTTTCTTTTCATTGAGTGAATTTAACCTTCAAAACATGACATTTTTATGTTTGCCTAATGTATGTTGACTTAATTACGCTTTATGTTTTATACTACTAATAAGCATACAAAGTTTAAACTCATTAATTCCTTAGAGTAGTGATACTCCTTTTATTTTAGCATATTTTCAATGGCGTTTTCTCCTAAGGAATGCGTTATTTGTCAAACTTTTAACATTGTACTTGTTGTAATCATCTTGTATGTTTGAAAAATTTGATTATATGTATATATGTCGCTTATTTTAATATAATCAACAGATGGATAAACCGCACTATTTGGATATATGAAACGAAAAATGTTTCTGGGTTGAAGTCTCAATACAAAAATCGATATTGAGATACCGGTACACGTAGCTAACTAGCTATCCCTGAATAGAACGAAATGCATATATTGAGTTTTTCTGCTATCTACAATTCACCTCTTTTATTGAAATCACATTTTTATTTTGTCGGTTAACTGACAACAATTCGATTTCATTTAGGGGAAGGTGGGCGTTTGGGATTGAAAGTCACTAAGCAATGGATGATAATTGTCTTGTCGTAGTCAGAAACCTTTCAACAGAATACATCCACATTCGAATCGTAAGTAATGTCTATTTATAATGACTACTATATGCTAATTGAAATGCAGTCTTTGCAACTTCTTTAATCAAACTATAATAATGTCGGAAAATAAGAATACACAAAGTGAGAATAAATGAGTAGGCTATTGACGTAGTATAAAAAATTCGAATTAAAATGAATGTGAATTGCCTAAGTTTTAATCGGGGGGTGGGGAGAGAATAGTGTTTCCAGTAATTAATTTCATTTCATTTTATCTAATTGTGGGCTGTGATTCTGCCCGGGTGAACAGTTCGAAGCAACTGGTTTTTCTAGGGTCTACACCCGGAGCCTTTGACCTAAAACTCAATTCTGCAAAGCAGTGTAGTAACGTCAGGAGATGCAGTGCTATTGTACCCAGTGACCAATGATTGTTTCAAACGCCATTTGCTCCCTCAGGATACTGGAGTCTACGTACATCATTGGTTCGGAATCAGTCAGTCAGTCAGTCAGTAACAACGTAGAACTTCGTACGTACGTACATCAGTTCGAGTTGCCACACCACCTTAACACAGAGATGCAGTTGTCGATCCAAATCCCGTAGTGGTAGAGGTAGCAAGAGTGTAAGCAGTGATCGGGAAGATTAGGGTTTGGAGATGTTATTTGACGGGTATAATTCAGTGAAATAAATTCGGAAAGAGGAAAAAGGGACATGAAGAATTCAGAAGTTTAGAAGTTCAGAGAACACAAAGTGTGGATGCACCTGCGCGATTGCAAATTATTTTCAGCCATATCATTCAACGTCTCTAACCATCGGTTGCTATCATCGCGCGG